GTGACCTTGCCATAGACTCTCGTGAAACCATCGTCATTACCAATAAAACCTATTCCTATTTCTTTCCCACGAATGAAGAGCATTGTGTCACTCACCCCCACCATCACTCGTTACGGGACAGACCACACTCAAGTTGTTTTTCATTTTTTAATGTGTCTTTTGCTTTGTTTCTTAAGTAAGTTTAATATTCCTAATTATAAAACTATTTTCTTAACCAATGGATTTGCTGTGTGAAAAAAAAAAGGAATAAGGACACGGAATTTCTTTTTTTCTGGTAAAGTGAGTTTCAGAGATGCACTGTAATTTTAGCTCTGCTCTTGCAGAGACATACTAATTTTAATCTACAAATGGAAACTGAGATATTCTAAATTACATCTATTTAGATCTTCTAATTGTACTTTAAAAAAGGCTATGCGTAAGCTCTCCTCATTCTATACACAGAATAAAATGAGAAATACAAAAATATGAAAATACAGTTACATAAAACTGTTCAAATTTTTGACCTACAAGTGATTTAGAAACTTTTGTAAAACTGTTGGATTTTTAAAAGACTGTGGAGGAGAAGCCTTCTTTAATGAGGATGAATTTGCTTCCTTCTGTCTGCCAGCATTATCAAAAACGTCAGATCCCCACTACATCAACTCTATTCCTTCTCCTCGTGTTCACTACATCAAAATGCTGCCTTTTTGAGCCTAATCTTTAGAAACAATATATCTAAACTTCTATTGTTCAAATAGAAGGTTAAAAAAAAAAAAGATTACAAATTACTAATAATGGGAACTGACAGACATGGCATTTTCACAAATGTAGGCACTCTCTTGGAAGAAAATTTAAAAAGAAGAAACACATACACTCTCCTCCACAATTCCAAATTGCATTAAATGTGAAGCCTGCTCCTAACTAAGACTTCACCATGTAAGAATTTCTAAAGACAAGTTTTCCCTTCTGACGTGTAATCATTATTAAGCATTTAATAAAATCTTAATAAAAAAACACCAGGGAAATTTATGAAACATTGTCCCAGGTAAAAACTTGGCAACAGTCAGCTATATTTCCTCTTTCCTTGGGTTTTAGTTCCTCTTTACTTAGTTTAAAGAGCTTTCTCGGGGTCTTTTTTTTGACCCATCCCTTAATCTTTACACCTTATAGTAACTGCTTGCTTTGCCAGCTGTGGTTTCATTTCACTTCCTTCTCATCCTACCTTACTTTGGTTCCCAACACTAAATAATACATTTATTCTTGCAACAACCAGTTGAGGAATCTGTAAGTAACCAGACAATATATATATGTATTTTTTTTACTAGCAGTATCACAGCAGGGATGTCTAGAGCCCACTGCACAAACACATGATGAGACACCTGAAGGATTTATAGCTTAAATACAAACACAGGAATGCAAGAAAAAGAACTTTAATCCAATTTACACATGAAAGACAAACACTGATGAAGGGACTAAGGTCAGAAGATAAACCTTCCAGTTCTAGTGTCTTTGCTACAAGACTGTCATTTGCTAGAAATCAGCACTGTAGATATGAAAATTCAAGGTTGCAGGCCAAGATAAGAATATTTAGCACAGTGTGGTAAAACATATTTTAGCCATCTGTTTATCCTTAGTTCTGATTAAGACTGGGAGCTTGCAAGCAAACTTACTTCTGGAAACTGAGCACCAGTCCCCTTTTCAGACACACACTTCCACGTTTTAGAAAATATACAAAAGCCCTGGTGATATCTCAAGTTATAGAGTGAAGAAAATAGCTAATAGTATTTTCTTCTCTCATACATAATTTCCAGAAGGATACTGCAAATTTCAAACTAGCTGTAGCTTCCTTTACATAAAATGGCTGCAAACAGAAATGAAACACAACTAGGAAAAGCAAAAGATACTTCTTTGACTGAGTTCTTTCAGAAAATAAGTTTCAGACTTCAGCAAATAATGCAAACACACAAATTCCTTTCTGTGTGCCTCTTGTTATAACAGAAATACTTCATACTCTTAGCTATCACAAGAGTAACAAGAGGCATTATTTATACTGGCTAGGCATGTTACTTCCCATTACACTCTAACAATATGCACTGTACATATTGTTAGTACATTGTATTAGTATTTGTTAGTACATGGTATTGTTTTGCAGCTCTCACTCCACAAAATAAAAGTGGAGAACCAGCCTGTGTGTTTGTAAAGAAAAAGAAGTGCAGAGTCTGGAAAGGTGCATCCTCTTGGGCTGCTTCCTGGGAAAGGTTTAATTGAAGGTAAAAATGAGATGTACAGTATCTTTAACAGAGATAAATTAAAAGATTCACCTCCCATTGCAGTTCTGAGCACAGATGCTTGAAAGAGCACTTAAGCGAAATGCTCCCCACTGTCATTTATCAAAACTCCTGCATTCCACCCACTCAAAAATTTCTCTCTTCTATTTGTTAAGTTTTACCACCTGATCATGTAACTGCATAGTAATAAGTATGCTAAAAATCACAGTTTCAGAGCACCACGAGCTCCTTTTCCAAGCACAGCCGGGACAGTCTGCGTCTCCATGCAGAAGAGGGGTGCGAGAGCCAGAGGGAAATGGGGCAAGGGGAGCTCGGCAGGAGCCCTCGGCTGGCAGCTCCACGCCACGTGAGGCTGTGGAGGGGACACGATGCCCCCAGTCCCCCCCCCTACCCTCCACAGTGAGCACTCCCCTTAAACAGGGGTAAGATCCCTGGTAAATAGGCCCTGCCGCAGACAGGCTGCCAGCAAGGTTAGAGACATCAATGCCCAACAGGGAACAAGCCCCACATAACTTCCCTCTCCAAACACTGTTCAAAACCAGATGGTTTGCTTCACATGCTTAGTTTTCAATACTTGGCACTTAACAAGAGGGCATCATTTGATACATCAAAACAAAAAAATAATGCAGAGCAATTGGTTAGGCAAGGTTTAACAAAAAAAGATTTGAAAGTATATTTTTCTTTCTCCAGCTACCACAAACTAGGGAAATTTTGCAAAACTTTGATCTAGAAAACAATATCTAGCAAAGATGAAGGTGGCTGAAGAGACCCCAGGTAACATGACTGCAAATGCTCATACATACTGGGCTTTTGCATCAGCATTTTATTCAATAAAAGCAATGAGCTCTGGAAATTTTAAAAATCATTTTAGGGCCTCTAGCATCTAATCATCTTTAAATTTACCATTGAGTGCTGGTCTTTTGATAAGGCATCCAGAATTTAGCAAGATTGTTTACTCCCAGTATCACAGACACTTTACAAAGTTCAGACAAGTTTTCAAAATATCACAATGCCAACTGAAATATTTGCTAACACAAACCAAAAACAACCATCAAATTCCCCCAAATTAACCTTCCTTCAGATGAAAACACATATGCCACACTGTAAAGTCCTATGTCCCAGACTCACTACATTTTCAAGCTGGATCTGCACATTTAATTGAGAGGGACACCCTCTATGCTATCATTACTTGACCTTGAATTCACTGCTTCCCGCTGATTTTGTAATATATTCTAAAGCATCTACTGATAATATCTAGAGGAGTTTGGAGTCATTCACTGTCTGAGCAGACTGAAACACTATGAAGACAGTGGAATAGTAAGAGCGAATGCAGAGAAAAAGACTTACATACAAAGGGTCAAAGCAACATCCATACGCTAATTATTATCTCTATATAGCACATTAAATGCAAACTAATGAAAACAACATACCATCTTACTCATTGTCAATTAAAATAAGCTTGACAGCTTCTAGATAAGGCCTAAATACTAAATTACATTGTTAAAAAATGTAAAGAAATCACACACACACACAATCTGTGGGCTATGGTTTACAGAAGCTTTACATGTCACTGTACTGTAGCTATGGAATATTTTAAGCCTGTAACAATGACATGTCAACTGAAATGGGAATGATTTCTGAAGTAGATGCTACTTTTGTGGTGTGAATTACTTCATGTGTATGCTCTATCTGACCACACAGTCTTTTATGGCAGGATTTTATGAGAACTTTCCTTTTAAGACATGCATACTGTTTATCTTTCTATTTAATTTCCTCTGAGTACATGATAACTGTGTTACTCATTATAAGATATATTCCCGGTCTCTTTGCTCCTCTTCTTCCCTCCCTCAAACCCGAATCTCATGACAACCCATGGTCTTTAGTACTGTTCCTATTTAGATGGCTTGAAGAAGTTAGCAATAAATATATGTGATATGAATGTTTAACACTTTTCATAGAATCATAGATCATAGAATGCTTAAGGTTGGAAGGGACCTCTAGAGATCATCTACTCCAACCCCCCTGCACACACAGGGTCACCTAGAGCACGTGGCACAGGACTGCGTCCAAGCGGGTTTGGAAGATCTCCAGAGAAGGAGACTCCACAACCTCTCTGGGCAGCCTGTTCCAGTGCTCTGTCACACTCACTGTTAAGATTTTTTTCCTTAAGTTTCTGTGGAACTTTTGGTGTTTCAGTTTGTGTTTTTTGTTACATTTGTATACAAAATATTTAGCTACTAAAGACATGGTATTAACAACAACCGTCAACTCATTATTCAAATAAGAACATTTCTGTTACGATAAATAATACAAACATCTTATAAAAACATTTGCATAGAGATACCCCAAAACAACACTACTTATGAGTGAGGAAATCTTGAATGCTAGTGTTTTCCATCTGGAAGACACAAAAGTCCTGATTTCCTTTGATCCTACTGATTAAGTTTTACAGTATTTCTTCCAAGTTTTTTTAACATTACAAAACAACAAGAAGTCTGACAGGAACTACTTGAAAGAAACATACTTATCTTTACCCATCTAGATAAAATTCTGCAGAGGAAGAACTGATTAGGTAGAATTAAAAAAGCTTCATGTACTAAGAGATCAAGAATTCTTGTTGGCAGGATACCTAAACCTAGACAGTATCAGTATTAAAAGACAGGGGAGAAAAAAAAAGAGTCAGAACAACTTACAAAAGCAACTTTACAAGCATAATTCATTTTAAACATCTACCTGCTTCTGTAGCCACCGTTCTCGCCTTTTTTGTTTTCTCCTTAAGCTTTTCAATTTGTTTCTTTCTCTCTTGCTCAGCTTTTGGTTTAAGGAAATATTTGCAGGTTGCACAGGACCAACAGGTACCACATGCCGTTCCTCTTCTACTGCACTTGTAGATGAAGAAAGGTTCATTGCAAAAGGTGACTGATCTACAATGGCACTCCCAGAATATTGCCCCGGAGCTTCAAAATCACATTCACTTTCTATTTCTCTATGTACTAATGCATTAAAGGAGGTAACTTGAAACCTTTTCCGTAGTTCATCAGCATTTGAACTATACTGGCCCTGAAAAGCAGTCTCACCTTTCTGACTTGACCCTAATTGCAAGTCACATCTTGTGTAAACAGGTGGATTTTCATTTTGGCCACAGCAAATAGTTCCCACACTTGAAGTTACATATAAAGCAGGCAACAAAACAAGACTCTCTCTGATATTTAAATCCAAACTGCGTGATCTTCTGTGAAAAGCTTTTACAGTGCATGCACCATTCACAGGCCAGGCAGCAGACGGATTTTGTCTTTGCTTTAATGCATCTGGAGGAAGATTTTTACTCTTCATCTTGAAACTGGGTGATCTTACTTCCAGACAAAGTGCTTCTGTTAGTCTTCCACTACCATTATAATTTCTGGCCATGTATGAAAACCCTTGATTTTTGATTTCCAAAGCTGCAGATAACACTTTGTGGTGGGGATCTGTGTTAAAATCAGATTTAATTTTGCAGAGCGTCAAGTGTTTTGCTGATGGTTTTGCCACTTTAACAGCAAAAGCTGCCTGATAGTCAGTCCGACTCTTGCAGAAATGTATGTTTACAGACTGTCCACAGGAGCACTTCGTGTTGCAAACAAAGTTAAAACCCCCTAAGCGGGCCTCACAGAAGGGACAGTGCAGTTTTCCAATTGTCCACTGTGCCTATTAGCAAGAAAAGAAAAAAGAACAACAGACTCATTGTAAATGAATGATTAAGAAGCCATTACTAGCTTAACTTTTCTCCTTTAATGAAAAACAAAAAGTAAACCATTTTAAACACAGAAAAAGAGACTGCCCAGAGGGAAAGAAAATAAAAGAAAAAAAGAAAAAAGAAAATCCACTATAAATAATGTTTTCTTAAAAACACTGCTTGCTGAAGTGATAACTAACGAATCCAGAAAAAAAGCCTCATACATTTCAAAATGTAGAGGCTCCAAATTATTTTAAAAAATTGTCTACACTTGTCTACTTTTTTTTTAACTAATGAAAATAAATATAAGATCCTTTAAAACAAATCAATTTACCCTGTTAATCTGGAACTGGCAAGCACAGTTTCTCACTTGAGTTTTCTGACTGCTGGTACATCTCTTGAATACTAAATACAGTGGAAGATTTCTCACAAGATGACTGTAGCTTTTGCTTTGCTTGCCCGAAATTACTTTAACGGGTACTTAATGTATTTTGGTGTACATAGCATTACAACATGACCCATTACAAACTCTTTTTTTTTTGTATCTTTCAGGAGACAAACATTTTCATTATTTGTAATTTGTAAGCTTTAATTCCAAAGCTACTTTTTCAAAGGAAAAACTTACCCCAGATCTATAAATTCACACTTGCGCATACAATTTTTAAAATAAATGTATTAGTCTGTTAAGCTGAAACATTTGTAAGGAATAAAGTTATGCAAGTGTTTGCAGCATCAAAGCAAACATGAGAAACAACACTACAACAACATGAGAAACACAGCTCTGATCACACATCACTCATGTGCCTAGAGTTGTACGTGAAATTCAGCTATGAATACTAAAGATGCTGCCCAACGTTTCTAGTTAAGCATTGCTTTTAGTTGCCTTTCTCTTTGCAAGTTAGACTGAGAAGATGTTACCATGACTGATGCACATCTAAGGGAATGCTTCAGAAAAATGTAGTTTCTGAAGAGGATTGTGTGCTAAAAAAAGACAGCACTAGAAAAAATTCTGAAAACTCTTGTGAAATTTAATTCTGTGTTTTGTGTTAAAAGCTTGAAATTTCACAAAACTTAAGAGATGTGTCTTTTATTGCTCCTAAGAGATTCTGTTTGAATTTGGACATGTTATTAGTTTAGAAGAAAAAAAAAAAAACTCCGTTTACATATGCTCAGTAAAGCTTTCTGAAAACTTTAGCATCTCTGAAAAAACCTTTAACATGCACAGTTCCCCTTGAATTTGTGAGGCTGAACAGTTCCCCAAAACTTGCAAGTTGTTTCGAAGATTTACAATGAGTTTTCACATTCCATTTCCCTTGCACCTTCAGTGAGTCTTGTTGGCACTCTGGCATTGTGGAATAGTATCTCACATTTCCAAATCCTGGGGAGAAATGAGCTATGAAAAGTCAGGCAAAATGGTGAGGATCCTTGTAAAGCCAGGAAAGAAGGAAAAGAAATGGAAGAAAAAGGACATCTCTGCCCTACGTGCTCAGAGACTCGGAGATGAGGTGCAATACAAAGGCGTCCAGTGCTGATTTAATGTGAACTTGGAAGCAGACTGTGGAAGTATTGACTCAGGAAAAGAGGCAACAGCCTAACTGTGGAGGAGGTGGTAGGAGGAAAATCAGCAAGGGATGAGGGGACACAGTTTCATGGTGGGCTGCATAAAAACAGAAAGCAGGGAAAAGCTGGCCAATTTAAGAACTTCTATACACTGAAGTGCGTATAAAACCAAATGAGATTGGTTAAGAACAGGGACAGATGGTAAAAAAGAACCGGTCAGGAAGCAGTAGGTTGTTACTGCCTGCAAATAGACTTTGTGCTTATGTAAAATGATTTAGCCTTTGACTCAGAAGAAATATAGGAGGAAATAACACATAATCACAAAATTATTCAGATCTTGGTAAGAAAAAATTGTGTAAAAAGCCCACACATTTATCCATAAACCTAGAGGACCTTTCTACAGAAGTCAGAAGGGAATGAGGCAAGAGTTTCCAGGATGTGAAAGGACAAAATCAGGGCTGAGAGCTGACGGCTTTCATACAGAACTGAATTCTCTGTCTCTGCTGCCAGAACCGAAGAACACTGCTCCTCTGTAATCCTGAGCAAGTATGTTGGGCCTTTTCCACATAATCATGGTCTACTGTTTTCTTATTTTCCAGGCATCCAAGGTGTATCTCTAGGCTTGTAAATGCCAGAAGGCTGGACAGCAACAGCTAACAGTGAAATGTATGAAATCAGCTACAATAAGACAGATCATAAAAAAATGAAGTAGAAAAACAAAATGTGGGTCTTCATTACGAGGCATTCAAGATTGGCCCCAAAGCTTGTGAAATGTTTGTGAAACAGATACACTATTTTGCCATGCAATGCTGAAGTCTGAGAAAGCAAAAATTTTAAGAGTTTAACTAATATAAAGAATGCAGGTTGCACATGACTCCCCAAATCAGGTAAGACTGAGCAGAAAAAACTTACAGCAAAAGCCTACTACTACTTCTGCTTCCTAAATCCATGCAATTATACCAGTTTCTCAACTCTCAGTAAGTTAAGTATTGAACTGCAGGGAAGCAATCATTGCAACAACAAAGTTGTGAGCTGCTTTGTGACTTCAAGTGGGCAGATACAACTCAAAAGTGATACGACTTCTGAATTTGCGGGAATACATTTTTCTATTTATATGACAAAATAGCACAAGTGATTTAAGAGACAGACATCACATTATATTCTATCAAGTGATCTCTAATAAACACTCAGTCCATTTTTTTTGAGAAACATGCTCCTTACCATCCTTCATTAGGATGAACATAAGTACTACAGGACACAATGACAAGACAAGCCAAAACACAAACACTTCAATATAAATTTAAATATTTGATAAAATAAACAGAGGTATCCTGTGTTAGTTTGACAAATGTAAATATTCATGCATAAATGTCCAAGAACAGAATATTCCCCTTCTAGGCTTTCTGCATACAGAAAAAAATGTTTCAGAGGAAAGGAAAAGAAGCAAACCCTCTGTAAACGGTAATAGATAGAAAAACTAATGAAACTTTTCTCAATAAAATGTCTATATATGATATGTGGACTTCACTGGAAAAGTGCCCTTGGTATTTGTTCTTTCTTCATAATTTACTCAATAATAAAGATGCGAGTTTTTTAAAAAATTTACCTTTTCAATAACGCATTTTACCCATTCTGGAATGGCTTCTAAGTTCATATGCCATACATTGCAAGTTTCCTGAGCGGCATCTGACAGCTGAGGTGTCTGTTAAATACAGAAATATTGTATTGATATTCAACATTCACATATGCTTTTCCTTTGAATACAGCCAGAATTTAGCTACCCAAACTCAGTAAGTGTTTTCATAACAACTGATAAAATTAAAAAGATGCTGTGCATACTCCAAGCAAAAAATAAAGTAGATGCTGTCAGTACTACTCTATTTCTGAATCTAAGGACAGTGGACAAACTCTTGAGAGGGAGATATTTTTGTTTTATAAGAACAGAAAGGATGCAATAGTTGATCTTCCAACTGCGCGAGGAACTGATCTCACAATCGTCAGTTTTCCAGTGAAGACAGGACGAAGTTAAGTTCATTTGAAAACGGTATTCAGCATCAAAGAATCATTTTACAAAGAGTTTCAAATTCATTTTCCAAAAACACTTGGTAGTTTAACTAGCTGAAAAGCCAAAGACTTCCAGTAAGTTTTGTTCAGTTTTTATTTCAATAATGTGACCAACTGCAGACAGAAAAGCGAGGTTTCAAAACTATTCATAAGAATAATGTTGGATTTTAGCTGAGTTTCCAAACTGTAGCATTTCACAAACAAAACAAATATAGCTAAAATAAATACAATTATATAAAGATATTTTAGTTTAAAATGAATTTAAATATATATATGCATCAAAAAGTTATTGTCGACGCTCTGCAGGAACCTGCAGGACTGTTTGTGCCTGGCCGTGTTGTCCTTCCAGTTGATGTCGGGGTAGTTGAAGTCCCCCATGAGAACCAGGGCCTGTGACTGTGAGGCAATATCCAGCTGACTATAGAAGGCCTCATCAACTTCCTCGTCTTGGTCAGGTGGCCTGTAGCAGACACCCACCACAGTGTCTCCCACATTAGCCTGCCCTCTAATCCTTACCCACAAGCTCTCAACTCGCTCATCATCCACCCCCAGGTTGAGCTCCTTCATTCCAGTTGCTGTCTCACATAAAGAGCAACTCCACCACCTCGCCTTCCCAGCCTGTCCTTCCTGAAGAGCACACAGCCTTCCATGGCAGCGCTCCAGTCGTGCGAGCTATCCCACAATGTCTCTGTGATTCCAATGGGACCATGACGCTGGGACCGCACACAGATCTCCAGTTCGTCCTGCTTATTCCCCATGCTTCACACATTGGTGTACAGGCATTTCAGGGAAGTAATCGAGCCTGCAGGTTTCCCAGGAGGGGTGAAAGAGGACCCTCCATGATCATTTCCTATCCTCACTTCCCCACTACCATACTCCCACTGGATGCCATCTGACCTAGGCTGCGCGGTACTGTTCGCCGTGTCTGTGTGACACTCCCCTTCCCCCTTCTTGTCTAGTTTAAAGTCCTCCTAACCAGGTTGGCCAGCCTTTTGTTTTCTGTTTGTTTATGTTTTCTTTCACTCCTTCACATTGCCAAGAAAGCAAAGATTTTAAAAAGCCATATAAATATAACAAAGATCTGCTGAGTTCCGAGATAAATGCATTTGATAAGTATAAATGCATATTCAGGAAACAAGCCATTAATTTGTGAAGTTAATCAACAGGAACTGATGCATACAAGTGTCCCAAATGCTGCAGGCAGATGACACCTTTAGGCATTCTGAGCAGCGTTAAAGAAAAAAATAGAAGACAACTTGCCAGTTCTTGGATAAGGAAATTACTTTCTACCCAAAAGGGCTCCATTTCTGATGATATTATTTCCCATAATTTTGACCTATGTCAGCTATATGCCAACTTATGTGCATGTCAGCTATGAATATAAAATCAGTGAAAACATCCTTGAAGTAGTAAAATTAACGCAGTTATTTGTTTCCTATCTTTAAAATATTTCCTCCCTTCTTAGCCATGATGTGGATCGGTTGGAAGAGTATAGAGAGCTCTGTTTCAGATATATACCAGGGCAGAGTATGTCTTGCTATGCTGTAAATGCCTGCACTGAAAACATTTATTTCTGACTATTAAATAAATACATATAAGTGAATAAATAGGGACTAGTAATACAAATTATGTAGACTCTTAAAATTTTTGTTTCTAGTTCTACTGCTGTGATTTCTATTTTTTTTAAACAAACAAACACACAAAACAGATCACATCCAATCCTATTTCCTTTATTTCCTTTGATTTATCATCAAAAGATGTATGGACTATCTTGGTGATGTATTTTGGAAAGAGTCTAACAGGTCTGCTCCATCCATAGGGTTAATATCTGTCTCCTAAAGAGGTAAATTACTATGTGAAAGTATATACAACACTCCTCCTATATTTAAAACCAAAAAGCTACAACTCCCCATCAGACTCCGTACTTACTTTAGATGGTTCTCTTCCGTGACATTTTATAAGGCAAGCAGAACTTGCTATGTATTTTCTACATTTCCAGCAACGTAGTGCATCAGTCTCCATCACTCATCTCCGTCTGTGATTCCTCAGATCTGCATGCCTACGTGTAGAGACCACAAAAACACAGTTCAAGTCACCTGTTAAATCCACACATACTTTCCTTTTGCAACCCCCATGTCTATCAGTAGTTTATCTTCACTATTGGGAAGGTTAATACTTTATTTATATAATAAACAATAATTTTCTGATCTTGTATAGAACACTACCCAAAAATATTCTAAACAGCAAAGAGAAGCAGCTGCTTTATTTCTAATTTAAATACAGAATTAGAAAATACAAACCCTCCAAACGTAGAAAATGGACCAACTTCGTACATGTTTGCACAAGAGAACTCTCGTTTTCCCAATTTATATCCCCTCTGCCAAACGGTACCATTTCCCAGAATATGTCCACAAAATTAAAACCAGATTATAATATACCTTAAATATGCATATATGTGATGCCATCTAATGAAACAGCAAGTCTGCAGAGGATGGAGAAAAAAAAAAGCCACTGTTTTCTCAGTGGATATCTGGAAGCTTGTTCCCCTAAACTATTTTGTGTGGGCGGCATAGTGTAACTGCTGAGAGCCTCAATAGGGCTTTTCACAGATTTGAGTTATCATGTGTGTAAAACAGAGACATAACTTAAGACAATGCCAAAAGGTCAGGAGAGCTGTTTTTCTGTTTGTCCCTTACTAGGATCTGATATCATTTTAGTTACTGTGTCCAAAGACGTCACTTTTTTGCAAGCTTTTTTGAATGTTCTTCTTTCTAACAGCTTCTGTTTTTATCCCCTTGTACTAGCTATACACAAAGAAACGTTTTACATTTACACACTCAACTCAAACATGATGCTATAGTTATGCGTACTCGGACTGCTGAACTGTACAATATTAATTGTCAAAGAAGCTGTGCCGTAAAAATTGGTATTAAAAGAATTTGTGCTCTGCTACACTCCAAATGTCTGATTCTGCAATATATTTAACAACTACACTTTTATTTTTCACTGACAAAAAAACCTGACATCCTCAACCTAGACTGTCTGCACAGCAGTTTGACTAAACCACATAAACCACTGACGTCAAGTTATCAGTGACATCTGAAGTGATGCAAACTTTTCCCTATCTAAACAGTGTCCAGTAAGCAATCACTGCTTTACAGCAAAATAAAAGTATTTTGATAAGTGTTCTGAAGTATTTACTTAGTTGTGCACAGACTTTTCACGTAAAAATACACTTTAGTAACAGAAAGGAATGTATAACACATAATAATCTACATAGCATAGGTTGTATTTTGTATAACCAAGAATGCTGATAGTAAATTATATATTTAAAAAGCCTTATAAAGCACAGGTAATCCTCAGCATGGTGTTACAGGAGGTTGATGTGCTCTGGCCTAGGGGAATTTAAAAGAGGAAATTCTTGTCTATCTATTACAATTCCGCATCTCTGCAGTTCTTACAAAGGAACACTACCATTGCACGTTAACACATTACAGAAGTTTTTACACGTGCCACATCAGAAAACAGCAAATTCTGATTTGTTGTATGAGTATTCTTATTTTCATCTGCACAAGGGTAACTTAAAAGAATACAAACACTAAATAAAATTTAAACACAGTGTCCTGGATATATAAGTTTTTATTTATCTTGTTTGCATTTTAAACTATTAAAAGGCCTCTTGTTCTCACCTTGCTTTGTCTTTTAGCAAAAATACCACCATCAAGGCTACAGATTCCACTTCAAGAGCCAGGCATGCAGAAACTAGTGTGTGCTACCCTCGGTTGTCCTTTTTAGCTTGGCACAGGACCACATTTGAACAGTTTCCAGATCAGTTGGCCAGTGAGCTCATGTTTACCTCCAAAATAGCATGCAGACATATTTGAGTGTCAGGAAGTCTTGGTCCCTTTCTGCCTCTGTTTTCACAGAATCACAGAATGGCTGAGGTTGGAAGGGACCTCTAGAGATCATCTAGTCCAATACCTAGAGTACGCGGCACAGGGTGGCATCCAGGCGGATTTTGAAGATCTCCAGAGAAGGAGACTCCGCAACCGCTTTGGCCAGTTCCAGTGCTCTGTCACCCTCGCACCCTTTTGTGTCCTTAAAACCTTTTTCTGTGGTTCAGTCCCAGAAAAGCTAGCAGGACAGGGTCCTAATCGTTCCTTCCCAAGTTAGAGACCTCAGTCCTTGTTCTTGAGAAGCACTTATCTGACTTTCTCTTGCAGACCTTCGATGGATATTCCATAGCCTTCTCCAATGACTTCAATACCTTGTTATCTTTAGCATTATAACTTTTCTCCTTAACATGTAGCCTGAATTTTCTTGCAATCTAGGCCTTACTCTTTCCTTTATCCACCTTGAATAAGGAGAACAAAACGTCTGTTATACTCAAGCACATTTTATAATTTGAAGCGCTTATATATTAGCTCCCCTTCAAACTTATCTTCGCAATGCAAATTCTTCTGCAAACGCAATAATACAAATAAATGCAATTCTTCTGATCTTTCCTCATGGATGAAGCTTTTTAATCTCCAGCTATCACTACTATTGTCAAGTCTTTCAAATGGGTCTTACACCACTATAAGTGTAATGTTCTTCCACAACAGCGTTCAAATCTGTATGCAGAAATTGAATTATTACTAGCATTGAGTAGCTTGGATTATATACATACGTATGTAGCTATATAGCTATCCCAATACGGGATATTCATTAAGTAGGTGAACAACTTAACACTGACTCAACAACAACAAAAAGAGAAGTGTGTGGGGGGGAATGCCTTATAAGGGTGAAAGCTAACACAAAATTCATCAGAACTCACTTTTGAAAAGTTGTTTTTTATATTTATAAGGACAGGAAAGTTTGGAAGATTAAAAAACAATTTTCTAATGGCCAATAACTTTAATAAGCAACTTCTGCATGAGATCTTTGCGGGTTTCTGATTCATACAGGCTCCCTATTATGCTCATGTTATGGGGAAATAGAAATGACTTTTCCTCCACCACTCCTTTATCTGGAAAGCCTATTAACAGCACCACAAAAATCTAATGGAGCCACTCATAAAGAACACCCTGCGATATAAGTGATTGATGAAGTGTCAGACAATGCAAAGAGCAAAACAATTCAGCTTCCTGTTTATTCATCTCTTGAATGAGGCTGTTTCTCTTTGGACATCCTCTCACCAGTGGGAGGTTGTTTGTTTGTTTGTAAGCTAGCTCCCTTCGATATCTACAGTCAAGTTCCTTTTGCAGTCCAACCTGTATAGTGTATTTAGCTTTGTTTGTTTCTTGTCAAAAAGAATTGCTAGAAAACACAAGGTAAAGCCCAAGAAAAGTTTTTAAGTGCATGAAGCCAAGGACAAAATATAAAAATGTATTTCTGTTGAAAGCCTAGTCCAGAATTTCTCTTTGACTAGGTTCTTCCTGCTCTCCAAAAACATAAAACCAGGAAAAGAAGTAAAGCAAAACAAGTGGTTCTCAGTGCTTCTTAGTTCAAGTCATCCATGACCGCTGCACACACTGCAGCCACCAAAGTGGCAACAGTAATTAGGTACAGCAAGAAACGAGGACACTGAAAGCTCCGCTTTAGTCACTGGGAGCTTTGAAGAGAAGATAGATGGGTGGCACTGTTGGATTAAGCGGGAAAATAAGTTACAAAAGCTGTCCTTGCTTGTCCAGTACAGGTCTGGATCAGAAGTTCCTGCTCCCAGAACAAAACGCCCTGATGCTTCATCCCCTGCAAAGTGATCACGGAAGCTATTAAGGTATATGCAAACACTGGCTGCCAGCTTCTCATCTCCTGACTATTTTTCCTCAGGGAGACACCACTAAAAGAACACTTCACCAGCACTTCTCAAAGTCTGCAATAAAGTGTCACTTTCATGGGAAGGCAGAAAAATAAGAGGTTTAAAGAACTGCCCTCTGAGGGCCAGAGAGGCAAAGGAGACATCTGCTCCCCTGCCAGCGCTGGCTGGACTATGACCCCTATTTTATTCTGCCCTTCCATCTAGCAGGGAGCAGCTTTCAGACGACGATGATGATGATGACGATGGGCTGCCAAGTGACGAGGGCTGGTGGGTCTCGGCTGACACTGTCCGTGGCGCAGTGACAGCGGCCTGTCCCCGCAAGCTCTGGAGAT